GTTTGGGCATTCCAAACCGCTGAATTGGAAAGGTGATATTCCATTGGCTTTCTGATACAGCCTTCAGCAGATTGTCAGCCAATTCAATGATGTTGGTAGGAGGACTCTGTTTTAAGCCATCATCATATAGAATGCTTGGTGCTGTGCCATATTTAGGCACAGGAGACCCGAGTGGTTGCCATTTACGTGGATTGGAGTAAGGGTCCATACAACATCACCAAGATCCATTCTTGAAAGGTAGGGCTTCAACTTTGTTTGTAGAAATTGGACATTTCTAGTTGAAGCCCAGGTTTGTGTAAATGACAGTAGATACAAGGAATGGGAATTTTTTCGCATGGTTTCCTCACTGTACCTCAAACATGCAGCATCAATCAAAAAGCCACTAATGTACCTCTCAGCAGCTAAGGTTGAAAGGTCTTCAGCATCAACCATCACATCACCAATTCTAAGGATTTCGTCTTGAGGTTCACTGTCAAAAAGCAAAGCCCTAATTTCATTAATCTGCTGAGGGGTTAATGTGGTGCTTGTAGTTTTCATCCAGTTTTCCTCTTCTTGGACTCTAAACATAATGGAGGAAGCTTTTGATGCTTTCATCCAAATGTCTAGAGCTCTGCTGTCAAAGACCCCAAGATCTCCAAACTTGACTGCAGTGTCGAAATCCTCATCATCACTGTCTTCTCCAGTTGCCGCATCCATCAGTCTATAACCCTTAGTGATTGCTGATTCTGAGGGCCTGACTGGAGACTGTAGAGGATTGTTAATACACCCAGGATCAACAACCAGCTCGATGTCATCATTTGGAATTATAATTAATCACAGGCGGAAGATTAAGGGTAGCAAGTTGGCCTCTGGAACAATCATTTGCAGCACAAATTCGTAAGTCAGGAAGAAACAAAGATTCTGATGGTTGAGGAACAAAGGCAGTTTTAGTATCCACTGAGACACTGCACGAAGGGCTGCAACTGGAATTTGAAGGGCTAGTGGTGGGGCTTGATGAGAGGCTTGTGGAAGAGCTGCTGACTGGGTCAGTGTTGCTGAAAGCTGGGCTGCTAGCTGGAATGGATTGTGGACTTTGTGGCTGTTCCAGCAAGGAAGTAAAACTGGTCAAAACTGTAGGAAAGAGCTACTCCCACAGTGCATGATCATATTGATAGATAGGAAAACAGTTGGGTGATATTACCACTTGTTTTAAACCTTTGTCAAATTCATAAGAAAGAGCATCCTTGCCAAACATTTTGTTGAACAAGTCATTCATGGTGAAAATCCAGGCCATGTCATTTTTTGACCATGACACTTCTTTTTTTCTGGACCAACCGCAGCCTCAAAAATGGAATGGGTTACCTGACATACAAAAAAAAACATTGGCATTGGCAGACTAAGGGAACCAGTCACAGTTAAAACAACAACAACAACAAAAAGATTTTAACAGACTGTGTTCAATAAGCTCTAAGCTTACTGCAAGTTTTTATGTGGTTAGTTTTCTACTGCTCAAGAGGAAGAATGACAACATATTAATGTTATCTCACCCCATTTCAGGTAGAAAAAGATAACGTACATAGTGATGTTGTCATTGGATGTAGTGTATGCTTTTTATGGGAATACACAACTCTCAGTTTTTTACATAACGTTGTCTCAACAAGGGAGAATACATTTGACTACACATCTAAGGGACTGACATAAAAAGAAGTTCCATTATATAATGTTTCTAGCTGGCAAACATTTTAGAAGATAATCACCATTTTCCATGCTCTCTATAGCTATTCTGAAGCAAAGCCGCAGGAACAGCAACTTTTCAGAAAAGATTTAAATGTTGCAAAATCTGTTGGACTTAATATAATATAATAGAGTTGATTATTCAAAAGTGCCAACAACATCAATACCAACAAGAACATGTGATTAACCAGACTTTGCCTTTTTCCCCAATGGATTCTAGTTTTCACACAATATTAAAGATACATAATATTCAAGAACATGTACAGTGTAGCTCCCAAAAACTGATATTTTACCAATATGGTATGAATGACGTCAATACTAACTGTAAATTGGCATTTAAAATTTCAATAAAGACCTCTGGCATCAGGTTTTTCATGCATGGGACACTGCAAACAGGTCTCAAATATGAGAACGTCAAGTGGTCTTCTGGTCGCGTTTGCAGTTTGCAGTTCAAGTTTGACTGGCAGGAAGGGCTTACGGCAGTAAATGACTTACAGCAATGTTTTTGCCACTAACAATTATATTATTGTTCAGCCTTACATTTAAAAGCACGAAGCAGCTTTCTACACTACCCTCTGATGTGCTAGTTAGAGCTGGTGATAAACAATAAATGTCTGCCTAAAGTTTAAAATCCAGGCAAAGTGAAACTGCAAATGGGTGACTGCAGACTGCAGTTTATTGTTTGCAGTATCCCATGAAAAACTGATGCTAAAGGTATTTTTAATACCTATGGATGTTCTCCAACAGGAAATTATTTTGCTAACAATGAAAGATCTTAAGATTAAAGGATATTCAAAACAAGATTTAAAGTTCAAGGATTTTCCATTGACTCAACTTAGATTCAAGAGCTTTTAGGGTGGTAGCTAAAATTCAAGAGCTTTTCATATCTTTATGAACTATCCATCATCTGTGGTATCACAAAACAATGTGAAAATGACATGATGAGCTTCCTAACCTTTCTGTAAAAAGAGTTGTTAGTTTAATTTTAACAATATTTAAGTAGGTGACAATATTAGTTTCAAGTACTGTAGTGTTGAGATGTATGATAATATAAAAAAATAAAGTAATACAAAGTAAAATATAAAACTAACTTGATGTAGCATGACCACGCCTGTCATGGGAAGTAGCCTTTGAATATAACTGACGCTGTAATGAGTGTGCTGCCTCAAAGCCTTGATTTGAATACTCCCTCAAGCTGAGGTGGTTTCTAAACAGCATGCTGGTAATTTGTTCAATGGTGATGTGGCCATAATCACTAGTGCACAGGTTGCAGCCAAACACTTCCGTTAAAAGGCACTAAAAGAAAAAAGAGGCATATTTCCATGGGTGTTAAACTGTCAACATCAACATTGAAGACTGTGCAGTAACTGACGGCGGGTCTAAAATACAGGTAACTTTTCCACACTGTCAGAGTACAGTTCACCATGATACAGACAAATGAAAAGCATTAAAAGTGTTTGCAAACCCTAAACTCTTAACAAAATGCTCTATTAGATAGAGGGGAATCTGTGTGGTTTGGCAATTCATCTATGGAACAGTGACATGTACTTCTCAAAGTCATTAATAATTCACAAAGAAAATTCAAAGGAAATTAATGTTTAATGAGTGTTTGGATATCTGATAAAAAAACTGCTCATTTTTGCATCCTTAATTTCTCCTTCAAAAATGATTTTGTTTGAGAAGAAATATCAAACATTCGACACAGTGTTTCATCACCAGATGAAACACTGCATCTCATGTTTGATATATTACTTCTTACATGTGGAATGTGACCTTTACTTTGTGAATATCTTAAACATTTCAGGAGAGATAAACATTTTTCTTTTAAGATAATAATCTATGTGCCTCATTCTATAATTAAAGTTTTAGTATTGTTTAAAAGACCAGCATGAGTGTATTTCCAGGTTCTGTATACATGACTGCAAAATTTTTTGAACGGCTTCAAAATCTCTGATATAGATCTTGTACTAATATTTAGATCTGTTTTTTTTTTAATCTAAAAAATTGGATGTAAAGTGTAGCCATGCCTTTATCAGATACAGACTAATGAAGCATTTCTTTCTTTTGTTTTTTTCTTTATGGATTATTAATGAGTTTTTGAATGTCAGTTAAAGTGACTGAAATTATTTTTGAATTTCTCGTCATGCAATGGCTGTTAATCGCTGGTCTCTGGTGAAAGATTTACAAGAAACTCCACTACAGCTGTATTAACCTTCTTGTCTAAATTTATTATTGTAATAGTTTTACACATTATGCATATTTTCCATTAAGAGGACTTCATTTTCAAATGGTACTTGACACTCTTACTAAAAGTGAATTACCTGACACATACCTGTATGTCGAAAATGTCAATTAAATCTTGCTAATCTTCCACAAAGACACAGTGACTACAATTCTAATAACTTCAGAAATGTCTTTCCAGTCAGTGTAAACCTGAAATCAAAATGAATAATTATACAAAAAGCCCAAATTACAAACTGAAATTAGGTGTTTTAAGTTAAGGGGAAACTGCCTATCAGTTTTTTTTATAAGAACATGCAGTGACCTTCCCTTGTGACCTGTGTTTTGTAACTGCCACTTGTTAAAGTTAAGAATTTTGTTCAAAAAAGCAAACTCAGCTTGACTAGTTTTAACTTAACATGTCTGGATTTTGCCCCATATCTTATTTTTCATAAAACTGTCCAATGTGTCTTCCGATTAAGTACAAAAAGACTTGATTATTTGATTACCTTTAAAAAAATTGGTAGAACACTTCTGCTGCATAATCAGATAGCTGAAAAAAAATCAGTATTGTCCACCTTAACTCCTGCCTTTGTTTCCTTGTTTGCCTTTAGCAACCGACCCCCCAACACACTTCTCTGACAGCTCCACATGTTGCATATCTTTTCTCGATTTCACGTAGCCTGCCCTGCCAGAATTCCAGTTCTTTGAACTTCTTTTCCAGTTTCTAAGGAAAACGGTTAGGTAGTCACATCACTAAGTGTAAGGGGTTATTCTTTTTAAGGGAGGACTATTATGCAAGAACACAAACCACTGGGTGTGCTGTTCATGCTAAGGAACATTCACTCAGTTGGGATGCAGTATTATCTGATGCAATAATGATGTACCCCAATGATACACAATGGTCACGTCATGGGGTTGTATTAATACTAACACTGCTACCTAGCCTATCACAACTTCCAGTGTAGATGGATGTAAATGCAGTCATTAATTCAAACTGTCTGGTTTATCACAGTCAAAGGGAAGGAAAGGTTTTAAATAACAGTATAATGACTGTAACATGTACCTGAACCTGTGAGGGTAATAGTCTCCTGCTTTGAACCAAAGTCTCTGGTCATTGTGTTTGAAATAGCCATGTCCTGATAGTAGTAAAACATTAAATTATTAAAAATTCATTAAATATTTTAAACAGAAACCATTTTTTTCAGTGTACGTTTCTACATACTACACAAAAAATACTATTGTGTGTTGCACTGGTTTAAGTAAAACATTCAAATCATGTGATATCCTGAGCCATACCTTGATTCTATCATTACAAAATGTGACTTTATTCAGGAGCGCCTCTTTAGTACTTTCTGGATCGGCAAAATATGACTTCAATTTGTCATGAGGCAAGGAGTTCCTGACATTCGTTTCAATGTTTGTGAGGAACTCACGTTCAGTAGAACCTTCAGGAAAAATAGTACAGAAAGAAACAAACAGGATTTAAATTCACAACTTAATGACATCTTCATTACAAACCAGTGTTACAGTTTTCATATTAAGGATCAAGGTATTGTACAAATGAAACTCAAGCAGCTGCTACAGCACAAAAGTAAAAGCCCTGAAGCGGATAAAGGGAATGAAAGCAATCATGATAAAAATGAAACAATATAGAAGGTACCTGAAAATGAAGACACCTGAATGTTGTGCTTTTCAACAGCAGTTTCTTGGCCCTCCTTCATCTTCACTGTTATTCTGCTGCTAAAATTCTCAGGGCCATAATTTGCCAATTCGGCATTACATTCATCAAGTGAACCCACTTTGTACAAAAACAAACCCAATGATGACAACAACTCTTCGGTATTTCTAAGTTGGCAGTGAAGGGCGCAGAGATTAATAGACGATAAATCCTCTTTAAGAAGGAACTCTAAGTCATCACGGATGCCTTTGAAACTAGAAAAAAGAAGATTAATTATTCTGTTAGTTGTGGGGGATATCTCCCCTGAAGTGGTACTTAACAGTTTTATAGATTTCAAACTCAAGTATTTTACTCGACAGGTTTTCAGTCTTTTATGACAGTGCCCCTACAACATTGACACACCTACAGTAAAGGAAGACTGTGGTATATTATTGTGGAAAAATAATATGTGCTCTCTAGGAAAACAAGACAAGGATAACTGTCAACATTTTATAGACAGGGGCATTAAACACCACGTTTTTCCAGAAAAAGCTTTTTGCTTCCTTTTCCATGCAGTGGAACTTCCCCTTTTGCAAAAGGCAAGGCTTAATTATTTTACAAAATATTATTGCTAAAATGAGGTCTATATAAAAAGTGAGTCTTTTATAGAAAACATACTTGTTACGTATAAATGCTGGGATGAAGGGATTCACTCACTATACCAGGGAATTTAATTTTTTGAGTAGAGGTTAACCGTATTGAGATAACCTTAATGTTTTGAATGTCTTTTATAATTCGAAATTACTGTGAATTCAAAATGACAACTACAAATGCTGAAATTCATGAATAATCAAGGGCTGCATGCCTCAACAAGTATCATCGGAGAATTCTTAGTAAACCAAAACTATAACTAAATTACCCTCCAATTCAAAGTGGACAGACTGCAAATTATATTAGTTGCTAAAAAATATATATCTCCGTGTCACAACTGTTCATCAGTAGGATGCCTAAAATGCGTGCAATTCCACAATTGGTTTCGGCTCCATTAAATCCTATACCAATTGCAAAACATTTTAGGAGGAGCCACCCACGATGTGAGCACAGTCACGGACAACACATATAAGTGACGAAAATAACGCAAAGTAAAACTAAGACGTTAATTAACGAACCAAATGTACACGTCAATAAATAAATAAACAAATAATGCGCGCTCAAAATAAAATGTATGCGCACAAGTTCCGGATACAACTGAAATACTGGCCTTGGACAATTGCTAAAGTGTTTCAAACAAACTGTACGTGGACCAAGATCGCAACATCCCATAAAAATAGCCATTATTCATGGCTAGTTTTTTCTAAGAAATTTTACCCAGCACAACTGAAAATCTAATAGTACTATATTAGTAAGTTGGTCATTGGTAAGGTCAAAACCTGCATAGTACAATTTGTTGACTCAGAGATTTTGAATGTATCCACATACCCTCAATGCTTTGCAGATAAAGCAACACTCTACTTCAGTTCCTCGTTTCCCAAGCTTAAGGTTCGCTTTTCCTATTTGTTCCAGCAAAAAATAGAGGGCCTTCAGGTCAAGTATAACTGTAGATATAAATATTTGAAAAGAGTGGTCAATGTACATGCAGGCATTTGGATTGAAAATTATGGTACTAAAAAATACCTTATTAATTATTATGTGAAACTTACCTTTAAATCTCACAGCATAATGCACTCCATCCACTGTGATTCCATTCTTCTTTAGTGCATCCTTTTGTCTGCTAACATTAACAATCAGCTTTTTTAGGTTTTTTTCCTAATAATAATAAAAAGTAAAGTTACCAGTAAACTGAAGTTATTACTAAAATGAAAAAAAAAGGAAATGAAATACCATGCTGCTAGTCTAGTCTGCGGCAGATAGTTCTTAAGACTTGAAAACATATAAAGGTCGGGTTTGAGTGGCCCACTAATAAATTAAGACCTTTGCGGTAAATTAATTTTCAAAAATGATCGTTTACTGGGGCCTTTAGGCCTCATATGATAAATTTGTTGTAAATCCACAAATTATTTCAGCTTGCATGTATAACTGGTCGACAACCAAAAATTACACAGTCAAAAAGGTACAATAATAATTTTCACTAACAAAACTAGTTATTTTGGAAACAAATAACTATTTGACTAATGAATCAAATTTAAATACAACATACCTGTCTTCCTTACAATTAGCAATAGCTAAAGGGCACACAGATTTGCAGCTCTGATTACACATGAATGGTGTGTCTTTGGGGACTACACCCATTAGGACCTGACTGTGCCCTACAAATGAGAGGAAACAAAAAAAAAAGGCATTTCAAAAATTTAAGCACCACTTCATGACCTAGAGTTCAAAGTGTTTGGTTATGTTTACCTTGCCACTTTGATGTTACCCTCCCCCCCCCCCCTCAAACTTAATACAGACACCTGTATTTAACGGATTTGTTGCAACAAAAAGCACATGTATTTTCTCTAAAATTTACTCCCTAATAAAGGCTACAATAATATGGACAACAAGTTTTAAAGTCCCATATATTATATACCCTGCTTTACATTATTTTATCTCTGCACTGTCTATGACTGAATATCTTTCAAGTGAAAATTATGGATAAGGAACGGTAAATGTTTAAGAATACTGATGAAAAAGACTATTTCAGTCCGAGACTACACCCATGATAAAAGATCACAGGGTTTCGTTAGGATGAACTTGTTTCAGTCACAGTTAAGAAATAATTTGGACACTATTGTATGTCCCTTGGTGTCATAATTTTTAACCCAATTTCACTGTTGATTTTGTTTCTATGTTTTTCTTTCTTAAGTGCAACACAGTTGTTGCAAAATACAATAAAGAAATCTGGAAATAAGTTACACTGTATTTAGTAAAGATTGCGTTCTCACCTGCAAATGGCCTACCATCAAGCTTGAGGCTTGGGTCAATTATTTCTTTCTGCACACCATGTAATCTCAACTCCCTGATAATCAATGTTATGGCACTTTCAAGAGAAACTTCATAACCAGGAAAATCTTGTATTTGGGTGATGCCAAAGAGGTTTCAAACTTTATCAAACACCATAGACCGAAGTGCCTTTATGTTGCTTTTGGAAAGCAAGATCGGAATGTCTGATGAGTTCTAAAAGAAAAGAAAAAAAGATCAAAGGTACTGACACAGTACCCCTGCCTCCCCCCACAGAAATGACCAATTTTTCTTACACCCCTCAGAAATATTCCAAAGATCAAAGGTGCGGTCACAGTCAATCCCCTCCGAAATGACTTTCACCCCCCCCGCATCGAGCGCCTGACCTGGAGAAATCACAGTTTTTGCTAAGATTAATTAACTCAAGTGTTACAGGAGGTAGAAGGGTGTCCAGCAAAAACTGCGACTTCTGCACTTTCTGCGAGTCCTCCAAAAATTGTGAAAAATTGGAGAAATCGCAGTTTTTGCTAAGATTAATTAAGTCAAGTGGTACAGGAGGTAGAAGGGTGTCCAGCAAAAACTGCGACTTCTGCAGTTTCTCCAAAAATTGTGAAAAATTGGAGAAATCGCTGTTTTTGCTAAAATTAATTAAGTCAAGTGTTACAGGAGGTAGAAGGGTGTCCAGCAAAAACTGCGACCTCTGCAATTTCTACGATTTCTCCAAAAATTGCAAAAAATAGGAGAAATCGCAGTTTTTGCTAAAATTAATTAAGTCAACTGGAGGTAGAAGGGTGTCCAACAAAAACTGCAATTTCTCCAAGAATTGAGAAAAATTGGAGAAATTGCAGTTTTTGCTAAAATTAATTACGACAAGTGTTAGAGGAGGTACAAGGGTGCCCAGCAAAAACTGTGATTTCTACAATTTCTCCAAAAATTGCAAAAATTGGAGAAATCGCAGTTTTTGCTAAAATTAATTAAGTCAAGTGTTACAGGAGGTAGAAGGGTGCCCAGCAAAAACTGGCATTTCTACAATTTTCGGGATTTCTCAAAAAAATTGTGAAACATAAGGGATAATTGCAATGATCCATGGTAGGCATTCTGTCATTTTTGTTATCATCCAAGCACAAAGGTTGACAGGTTTTTGTCAATGAGGTATTAGGGAAATACTTGTTACTGTGTGATTCAACCTTGCATCCTCAATTCATTGTTGACTAATCCTGACTAATCCCATACGAATTCCAGTATCCATAAAAATTTTGCTCTCAAAATCTGCTCTTTAGCATAGAGACCATTATTTCCTTTTTTTCGGAGTTTACAGTAAGCTTTACCTCTCTTTTTCCTTTACCAAGTTGCTTTCTAAACCCACCACAATCTTGGAACTAGTCGTAGAGATACGATAATCTTCTCAGGTTTGTTATAGTCACTGAGCCTGGTGTATCTATCCCAAATCTTGTCAGACCAAGAATCTCCTTGTTCAAGAGATCGAAGACCTCATGAGGCATGGGAAGGTCAAAGCAAATCATCCACGGATGCACTATGCTCATTTTTGGACTAAGACGGTGAATAACTGCGGTCTTTGCGCGATCCATGCTTCGAAAGCATAGGACATAATCTCGCCGATCCTGTAGTAATTGGTGCGCTCGCGAAGCGCGCCAAAATTCCCTCTCACAACTGACTCAGCCAGCTTATTCAGTTCATGGAATGTCTTGCCTAAATCCTTTAGGGTATGTGCGTTCCAAATTCCCCGCTGAAATTTTGATTTCTCTCGCTTCAGTGCATCTTTTATGGAAATTTAGTTCACCTTCGGTAGCTGCACATTCCCGTACGTAACTTGCAGATCTGCGGAAGGCCTTTCTCAGGTCTGTCACAGGTCTGTTCAGTCATACAGCAGACCAATTTGACGCAAAACTGAAGTCTGCAAGTCTGCATACTGTCTGTGACAGACATCTCATGAAAATGACTTCTTCTTTGACTGTGTGTTGCCTTTTATCTTGTTTGCAGCAAGTCTGTTGCAGACCTTTCGTGACTTTTGGTGATTATGCAATAAGGATCTATTATTATGTCTGCACTTGATCTGCAGCAGACGCTGTGCAGACAACCACCCGCACGAAACTTTCGGCGCTGTACAGCGCCACAAAATCGCTTCAAAATAGCTGTACAGCTAAATTACAGCTGTTCAGCAGCCTTTTAGAAACCAAACAGCAGCTTCATTCAAGTTGCAGCGGGCTGCAAAAGCGCTGTGCAGCCTTTGAAGGTTCTTTGAAGCTCTCGGCAGCGGTTTTGCAGCGCAGTTGCCGACTTTCAAACGCTGCGAAGTAGCAGCAGTAACGTCGCTACAATTCAGCTGCGGTCCATCTGACTTTCTTGAGCGCCAATAACATGAATCGCCAGATAAAGCCTTGGCACAGATTACGGCTTTTATAACGCGAAAACGTTGACTGTACCCCTAAGAAATGTGAGTAAGCTTGTGCTCAAGGAAGATCACTTATTGAATAAACCTTCAAATTCTATGCTTTCAATAAATTTTATTCCGTGACCGGCAAGTGTGGGAATGTTATCGCTAATTCCCTGGAGACATTCTAGGTTGTGATCTAATTGGTCGGTCCTTTTACATGAGATCCCATTACATCTCTAGACAAACACGGGATCCCAAACATTTGCGACCGTTGAATGAAAGGCGCAAACATTCTAAGTGTTTTTGCATCTAGTTCTGTTTCGAGATGGAAGTTCTGTTGAAGTTTTTGGATGGAACAGCTCAAACGTATTTGCAAACAACGCACTGAACAGTGACTTCTACGCTAAGTATCGACGAATCGAACCAGAGCAAGCAACACAGATACAAGAATCTCAGATGGGGTAATATTCGCACTTACAAGATTCTTATACGCTCGTGGTAATGTTCGGTCCTTTAATAGTCCTTTGTAAAATTTAACGACGTCCAAAGTAAAATTGGGTTGATTTCTTTCATGAAAAAAGTGTAGAAGATCGTGGATCATGGACAAAACGTTAAGGTGAGCAATGTCCAGCTTAGCCCGTTGCAACGAATCAAAATATCATTTGCCTGCTGTCCGTGTAAACTTTATGTATAAGAGCAATCGCTGTTATTCTCTTTATTTTTAAAAAAAGATAATTTTAAGTTACTCTCTCGATGCCTCTTTCCATTCTTAAATAAAGGTCACCTTTTGGTTTGCAGCGTGTTGTTTTCTTCGTATATTTTTAGCTGACATCTAATACTCCATTCACTTTGCTGCAGTCAATCTGCAGACCTAAAGGTCTGTCATTCACCTTTTCACTTGCAGCTCACTGACAGTGAAGGGATACTTTTAGAACCGATCCACTTTTTGTGTTCACCTTTCCGTGACTAAATAAAATCGAACTGCACACTTAATACAGACCAACTGCATACTAACTGCAGACATTTCAGGCAAGTGATCTGCAGGCCTGCTGAAGACGGTTGAGCAGACGAAAAAAAGACCAGTCTGCAGATCTGCATGTTCCGTACGGGTTGATCCGCCATCTTGAATTTTGCAAAACTAAACTAAACCCGAGGTCGCGCTCGGCCAAAATTGTAAAATCGACGCTGTTCAAAGGAGTTTTAAACCGACGTATTTTCAATGCTGTCTTTTTCAGGGTACAAAAATAGTCTCATTTAGTCTTGAACCCCTAAGAAGGCAGTATTGCCGAAACGTCGGTTGAAACTCGTTTGAACTGCGTCGATTTTACAATTTTCAAATTAACATTAAGTAGCTACGTTGGGCAGGGAATTTAATACTCTTTTTTCACAAAGTGAAAGTTGACCACATTCCAAGCGTTGCAAATTTTAAAATGGACTAGGTACGTGAAAGTGTACTGCTACCGCGGTGAGCAGTCCGTTAGTCGCCAAAAATTTTAAAAAATTGCAGTGGTTGCTTTGTATTCAACAGCTTTGTTGGGATTTGTGGAATAAAGAACGAAGTATATTACATGTATAGTATAGTTGTTGGGGCATGAGTATTAAAGACCCGAGGTATATTACTTTTGGATTTGCACGACGTTGATTTGTCAAGGAATAAGCGTCAAAGTGAAAGTGACAGCATATAGTGATCCACAACATTTTGCAGTGACGACTTTATACAAAATATATTCAAGATCGACGTAGCAATCGTCGACATTTCTAAGATCGTGCAGAACGCTTGACCTATTTAAGTAATGACGGCAAAATAATCAAAGCGAAAAGCATCTTTAATAAGCGGTGTTGTAGAGTGTTGTTTGTCATCGGTCGGATCGACTTAAACAAGTGCGGGCGAAGCAACCTCGGGCGAATACACTTTAGGGGGAAACGACCACATAATTTAGATGTACTAGTGAAAATAATTGTTACATTGAAGTGAATGATGCTGTATTCAAGATGTAATGTGAATAAATAACTTTGACCAGTTGAAAAATACGTTAATGATGTTGATCCCTTTTTCAAAAACTCCTAGTTTAAAGAAGGCATAAAATGACGAAACTTGAAATACAATGGAATCTTACGAATATCACTCGAACCTTTACATAACAAACCTTTATTTAAAGATTGGCTTCGTGGGCTTTTGCGTGTAGAAATGCTTTAATTGCCCTTACAGGGAAATGCCAAAATGGCAAGTAAAGCGGAAACTTTTCGGACAAAAAAGTCGGCAAACGGCTTTGTTTTAAGAGATCATGAACACGAGAAAAGTGAACTGATTACAGTCAAACCAGGTCAAGCGTTCCCGTCGCTAACGAACTAATGAATTCATTCACGGAAAAATGATTTCGTTTGTTGATTCAATAATCCATTCATAAAATGAACAATCCAATAGTCATATTTAGCCTCGATTCTATAATCGAATGTTGATTCGATTACTGTTTTTTGAAAAATTCCACTTTCCACAAGTTGACCTCAGAATTTTGTTTTTTCCTCTTTTTTTCTGAGAGTCGAGTGCTGGCGAGTTCTGAAGTTCAAACCCAAACAAACTGTTACATGTACGCCAGTTTGCTGCCAATAATTAGTGCAACAGACCTAGGCCTGACCTCTTAGAAAACACGACGGTCAAACTGAGGTCAGTGTATGTGCGGTGATTGGTGGATTTCGATCCTCGGCCTTTGTC